TTTTATGTAAATATTAGGGGTAAACAATTAAGTAAATGTATTGTGGATAATGAGGACCAGATTTTCAGTGTCAGAGAACTTACAAGTAAGAAAAGAAGAAAGGCTAGACTGAATTCTGTGTTGTTGGATTAGAATTGGAGGGATCACTATGAACATAGGTTATTTATGGAAATAGTTGGATAGAAATAGAGACGTGAGAGAGAGAGAGAGTGAGTGTGTGTGTGTGTGTGTGTGTGTGTATACATTAATATATTTCCTAGCTGTTTGCTGCAAGGGCCTAGAAGCAGTGACCCACCTTGGCAGCAGTGAATGTACTAGCACCCAGATCTTTGTTTCTAAATCCAATTCTTCAATAAAAGGAATCAGGAATTCTTGGGGAGAAGTGGGTAATTCCAGGGCTTAGGCAGAGAAACTACTAGATGATCCCTGGAACATTTCATGGTGCCAAAAAGTAAGGAAGTGCTTAGAAAATGATGGGCATGTGGAAAGATAAAGAAGCCAACTTGAGGGAAATGGGGTTTCTAATCACCAAATCTGACACAAGTTTAGAAACAATTATAATAATGGTATATAAGATATAGAATAAAATATATTCATATTGCTATAAATGAATAATTGAATAAATAAACGGGGAAAGGGGTCACCTTTTTCTTACTGTAGAATTTTAATTAATTAATATATGAGGAATGTTGAATATCTTTCCACAAGGTGCTTACTAATTTGAAAGGGCCATTCTTCAAAATAATTAGCTAGTACTTTAAGTCAGGGGGCCCCAACCCCTATTAGGAACTGGGCCACACAGCAGGAGGTGAGCCGCAGGGCGAGTGAGCGAAGCTTCATCTGCAGCTCCTCCATTGCTGGCATTACCGCCTGAACCACCCCCCCCCCCCATGGCTCGCATTACCTCCTGGGAACACACCCCACCCACCCACCCCCACCCCCATCCCCAGTCTGTGGAAAAATTGTCTTCCACGAAAACGGTCCCTGGTGCCAAAAAGGTTGGGGACCGCTGCTTTAAGTGTCAAGGTAATGAAAGTCAGAGACTGAGAATCTGTCCCAGATTAGAGGATGGTAAAGAGACATGCTAATTTAACACAGCATGGGATTTTAAGTTAGATCCTGGACCAGAAAAAGGATATACGTGGGACAGTTGGTGAAATTGGAATAAATTATGTAGATTAATTGTATTTTATCAGTGTTAATTCTGTACAGTCTTCATTTATTTAGAAGCCTTGTTATTATCTCATCCTGATATGTCCTTTATCATTATGAAACATTCCTCTTTCTCTCTGGTAATATACTCTTTGCCTTGAAGCCTTCTTAATCTGATCTGAATCTAGTCACTTCAGCTTTCTAATACTTACAGTTTACATGGTATCTTTTCCCATCCTTTTATTTCAGCCTGTTTGAATCCTTATATGAAAAAGTGCATATCTTACAAGTACTGTGGTTTTGGCTTTCTTTCACTTTTGTAAATCTGTCTGGCAGTCTCTGTTGTTTGAATATCTAGTCCATTTATATTTAATTCAGTTACTGATATGGTTACATAAAGTTGGCTGTCATTGTTTCCTTTGTATTTTGTGGTTTTTCTCTGGCTGCTTTCAAGGTTCTTCTCATTACATTTGGTTCTTAAGTATGCGACTATGATGTAGTTAGGTATTGGTTTTTCCTTTATATTTATACTACTTGTGGTTTTTTTAGCCTTTTGGATATGGGATTTTGATGTCATCACTTCTGTAAAGTTCTCAGCCATTGTCAATATTTTTTCTGCCCCATTCTTTCTCTCTTCTCCTTCTTGGACTCCAATTAAGTCTTTAATCTGCTATTCAGTCCTTCCAGTAACTTTTTTTTAAAATTTCAAATTAGTATTTTTCAGTTCTAGAATTTCCTTGTGTTTCTCTTTTAATTTCTCTTTACGTGCTCTGATTTTTGGTCCATTCATTCCTTATGATTATGTTTTCCTTTTCATCTGTGAACATTGTTAAAATAGCTGCTTTAAAATTATTTGCAATTTCAACATCTGAGTCATTTCATGGCTGGTTTTCATTAATTTCCTATTGTTTTCAACATGAGTAAAAATTTCCTGATTCTTACAAGTCTGGTAATTTTATTCTGGGTATCATGAATAATACGTTGTGGAGAGTGATTTTGTTATATTTTTCTGAAGATGATATTTTTGTTTTATTAGCCAGTTTAACTTTGCTCAAGTCACACACGAAACTTTGTCATCCCTGTGGTTGGCAACAGCTAAATCTCTTCCTTTAGTTCTTTTAGGCTGCTGAACATCTGTTGTGTTCATGCATAGTTCAGTGGTCAACCAGGGATTTGAGCAGTTTAAACTGCAGAATTTGTTGTTCTTTCTCTCCCTCTCCTTTCTGGGATTTCTTCTCCCCTCACTTCCAGCTCTTGTGATAGCTACAAAGTCTGTCCTCAGATTCTTCAAGCTAGTAAGATTGCTGATTTCTGTTTGAGTTGTAGCCAACCAGATACCAGTTGGGGCCTGCCTTCAGGTGAAAATCCTAGAAAAATGGGGTTACTAAACCAGTGCCATTCCCTTCCTCTAAGTATTAGCTTCTCTGTTTTTGCCTGATTTTGGTTTCTTTTCAGTACTTTCTGATATTTAACTTTTATATTTTATCCAGAATTTAAAGCTGTCTGAAGTGTTACTTCAGCATTACCAGAGACAAAACTTTATACAAACTTTATACTAAACACCTTTACAGATAAACTCATGTTGCTTTTATATACTATTTATAGTTGCTACTTAATGTTCTGCTGTAAGCATCCATCATATTTTATATTTCCACTCACCTAGCGACATAGACCTAGGTTGTCCATCTCCTTGGTACTACAAATAGTACCATTTACAACATTACCTCTGGGAAGGTTCCTTTGGTATATATATCCCAAGAGTGAGATTGTTAGATTGGAGCATATTTGCATACCTAATTTCATGAGTAAATTCCCTTCAGGCAAGGCATGAGCATTTTCCTTTACTCACATCCCCACAATACTAAGAACTACCCAACTTTATGTTTGCCAACCTGATGGGTAGAAGGTAATATATCATTTAAACTTGCATTTTCTGATTTCTAGAGGTGTACACTTCTTCACATGTTTTTCACCTTTTATGTGTTGGTTTTTATGTCCATTGCCTATTTTTCTGCTTATGTGTTTCAAGTCAGATCCTTACTACTCCTCCTTATTTGTGCCATTTTGGCCAAGTTGAATAAATTCTTTCACATCTCAAAGAAATACTCTCCTTCATTTTCTTCTCTTAGTTTTATACTTTTACATTTCATATTTAGGTCTTTAATGTAGATGCCAGTTTTTTGTATATAATAGGAGGTAGAAATCAAACTTCATGTTTCTCAATACGATGCAACCAGCTTTTCAAGTATGTTGGTTTTATTATTATTTCTAGTGTTTGGAAGTATGTTTTAGCATTTGTTGAGGTAATTCCACAAAGGGCTCTTTCTAAAATATAAATTTGATCATATTGCTTGAACTCATTTCAGTGGTACCCCATTGTCTTAGGATACAGTCTATAGTCTTTTAACATGGTTTAGGAAGGTCTTTGTGAAGTTGTCTGCTTGTCTCTGCATTTTCTGCCCAGTGTGCTAGTACTCTAAATTTACCACATGCTCTTTCTTCCTCTGGGAAATATCATACTGTTATTGTACACAGTACAGTATGTTTTTTTTTTTTAACAGTACAGTATGTTTTATTTGTTTTTATATCTGTATTCTTGACTACACTGTAGTCCCAGCAGTTCCTGTTATGTATTAGGTATTCAACAAATATTTACCAGTTGAAGGAATTGAGTTGAATAACTTGATCCTTATCCTTCATTAATTGTCTAATTTACTTTTTCAGACCAGATTAATGTTTAAAGGGAACTCATTTACTTGATGAATAAAAGTTTATGTAATAACTACTGTTAATCTCAATGGACAGTTCTTTCAAATCTTCCTCATGTTGACATACTGCATTCATAGAGCTCCTTATTTGTTTCCATAGCTCTTTTTTAATCTCGTTTGATCCTTAGAACAACTCTAGATAGAAAGATCAGGCACTACATCTGTTTTATGGATGTTGAATCATAGCTCAAGTGATTTGCCTGAGGCTCACACAGCTAGTTTCGTGTTTCTACCTATGTTTTGGGGGAGAAAGATTTGTTTGCTCAGGCAGCTGTGTACTGTCAGTGATATGAATGAAAGCCACTTCATTGTTCTGCCAAGTATTTTTTAAAGATAGTATTTATGAGGTTTTCTTTTGTTGGCTTTTCCCCTTTTTGTGGGGGGTGGTGGGGAGGTTTTGTCTTAAGTTTTAGGACTGTAGCAATAATGGGTTTCAGTCATATTAGTACTTCTGGGATGAGAACTGTGGGTAAATGGTTTCATTTAGAGTTTTGCCCAAGGAATCTTAAATATTGCAAACATTATTAGACTATAATTATGGGAGGTTTGTTGTCTTCAAAATCATATATGTATTCTAAAATTTTTCATAGGATATTTTATATACCAGTATCTATATCTTTTAAACTTAGGTTTCAACTACTTTTGTACTTAGTTTTTTTAAAGCATTTTTGACGTGCTCTATTGTTCCTGTTAAGTTGCTTCGGAACTTGGTATTTCTAGGCAGACAGATGATGCACTTGGAAGTGGAATACTTTTCTGGTTTCATTAGTGTTATTAAGTAAAGTTGAAATCATTTATGTTATTAAATAGGTTGAGATGATTTTTTTTAACTATTGAGATTTGACAAATTCTTAAAGGTCATGTTTTAATGAATGTTTTACTGGTGTTAGATACTCTGAAACATGGTCTATTAACCCCAGCTGTCTAGAGTTAGAGAAACATTCAGTAAGGCACTTTTCTCTTTCAGTTGATTTTTTAAAATACGCTAAAATATCAGTATCATATAAAACTTAACATATGAGCTAGTTCTTTAAAGATGTTAATTTTATTTTCTTTAAATCTGTTTTTCCTGCTCTTTAGAGGAAGTATCATTCTGCAAAGGAAGCTTATGAACAACTTTTGCAGACGGAAAACCTTTCTGCACAAGTAAAAGCAACTGTCTTACAACAGTTGGGTATGTAATAATATACATTTAGTGTGTTATAAGTACATCTCTTTATGTTTTTTACATGTCACAGATGGTAAATACGTGGCTCATGTACCCTATTTCTTTTCTTTCCTTTTCCCCAGAGTTGATAGAATTAATCTGAACCCATCATGTTTCCACCTTCTGCCGAGCATTGTCTATCTCACAGTCAATCTCATTACAGTTCTTTAGTGCAACTTGTCCTTTTAAATTCTCAAAATTATACTCTGGTACTTAACCCATGGGTGAGGGGGACTGAATACTTTCTTTGTGCCAGATATGCTTAGTACTCAATGAAGTTAAGTGATTTACCTAAAGTCTCTTAGTGGTTGGTGAGCTTGCTTTCATAGCTCTGTTGATAACTAAAGCATTTTATGTAAGAATTGTGGAACATCTAACATTATATATAGTTTCTCTACACATGCAGTTCTGTTGTAATGTTGAAGATGAAGGCATGTAGTCGTCTGGATATAATGTGTCACTATCACCAAGAAGATAATGATGGAATTCTCCAACATTTAATTTTGTTGCTTGGTTATTGAGTCATGTTTCTTGTCTGCATTTGGTATTTCGGGGTTTTTTTTTGGTTCTCCCTCCCCCCCCACCCCAGCTTTTTAAAATTTGGTTTTGGTCTGGGCAAATAATTGACTCTTAAGTTTTAGCTACCGTTGTAGTAATGTGAATGTTTTCATGATGTGACTATTTTTAATGTAATTTTAAAATTATTTAAGCTTAGACTTTATCACTTATCTTCATGATATGAATGCATATTATGTGATCGGTTATACAAAATAAACACGTTGCTTTCATATAAAAGTTTTATTTTTAGCTTTGTTTTTAATTTAATCTCTGGTTAGAATTTTCCTTGAGTTATCCATACTTTTAAAAATTATAGTAAAGTTTTGTTTTTAATGATTACATGTAGTGTTTGAGTAATGTGAATTTGTATCTTTAAATTAAAACAAGTTTATTAGTACAGCAAAAAAGCTTTTGTGTTAGTTATTCAGTAAAAAGAGCAAAGTGGTGCCTTCAGACAGCTTACTCATTCAGCTAATATTTGAATACAAGCTGTTTTTTTAATTAGCTGCAGTGAAGAATGTGTCAATAGCAAAAATGCATATATACCTTTTAAATTTAAGAAATGGATTGAAATCGTTTGAATTACCTGTCTTCTTTCGCAGAGTGTATAGGTAAACTTTCCATGGTTTTGAAAGGGAAGGTACTTCCCCTAATTGAGTCTAATTTATGCCTGCACATCAATCCTTCCTACTTTCTTGTCACTGTTGCTTAAGCAACTCCTTTTAGAGCCTGCTACTGTAGGTCCTGTTCTTACTAGTAATAGTAGGAGAGGTAAGGGAAGAACAGATGAATAGATGTGTGATTGACTTATATTTCTGTAAAACATGGTAACTCAATCCTTTTAAAATGTCTTTTGGAGCACAGCAACTATAATAAATGCCAAAAAATAAGGGTCCTTATTTATTTTATGTACTGTGGACTATACACAAAGAACAGCTGATTTTATGCACTTGAATTGATCCACAACTGAAATATGATTCCCTGGCAAATTAAATCAAATTATTCCTGTGTGCCTTGAAGGTATAGAATACACTAGTCCATGATCCAGTCTTTTGATTACTTCCATAGCCAGCTTGCTTGCTTGTTTGTTTATTTATCATAACGGTTGTATTTGAGGTGTACAAGATGATGTTTTGATACACCTGTACATAGTGACATGATTACTACAGTCAAGCTAGTCAGCATATGCATCTCCTCACATAGTTACCATTTGTTTTTGTGTGGTGGGAGCACCTGAAATCTACTCTCATATTAGCAAGTTTCCAGTATATATTACAATATTAATAACTGCAGTTGTAATGCTGTATGTTCTCTAGACTTACTTATCCTACATAACTTCAACTGTGTAACCTTGACCAATATCTCCCCATTTCCCCAACCTTACCGCTCCTGGTAACCACCATTCAACTCTCTGCTTCCGTGTATTCGACTTTTTAAGATTCCACATATGAGATTATGCACTATCTAAATTTATTTATTAAACATTTGTGTTACCCATTTTGTACCGTTTTTATTTGCACCATTTGAATGGACTTTTCTTATAGCCTTGGGGTTTTAAAAAATTGTCAAATGCTTTATTTATAAGGTGTGAAAATATGTAGCCAGTGCCAATAAGGTGGGATTGTATGTGTGCGTTTTACTCTGAACTATCATTGATTATATAGCTTATATTTACTCCTTGGAAATAAACATTGGGTTAATAGTGTCTTGGAGATTCTTAAATGCACATACATTTTTGCACGGAATAGTGAATAAGATTTAACATCTTTATATTCTTTTATACCATGGAATCTTTTCAAATACAAAAATCAGAGAATAAAAGAACTGTAGTTTGCAATCTACTAAGTGATAAGTCAGTGCTTAAAATTGTTTTAATTTCTCTGGAATGAAAGTTCTTCATAGCTTTGACTGTACTTTAAAAACAGACTTTCTTAGGCCAGAATTGACAGTTCTAAATTTTGGGAATGTGTATGCCAAGCTAAATGAATAAATTTACTGAAAAGACTATTTTTTACTTGTTTGTTTTCTGCTTGGTATTCTTTAAAATAGAAGAATAATTAACTCATTTAGGTAAATATTTTTAATCACTTACTATAGGTTGGATGCATCATACTGTGGATCTCCTGGGAGATAAAGCCACCAAGGAAAGCTATGCTATTCAATATCTCCAAAAGTCCTTGGAAGCAGATCCTAATTCTGGCCAGTCCTGGTATTTCCTCGGAAGGTAAGACTGATTTATCAGATACTTAGGCTTTGCTTTTGTTTATTCCAGCTAAGGGTTTTGAATTATGATCTAAAATATTAGTTTACTAATAACTTGATCAGTGTATTTTCTCTTAAGTATTTTATAACAGGTTTCTAGAAGTTAAAAAATAAAAGAAAGCTTCTGAATGTGGTGGTTTTCTTCCAGCAACATCTGGTCTATCAGGACGTTTCTTATTTTGCTTATTGAATTTTCATTTGACTTAAATTATTGCTGGTTTTTAAAAAGTCATAGCAGATAGTAATTTTTCATTCAACTGTTTATGCCTTTGTTTTGATTTCTAGTGTTTTCTTTATATGTCTGTTTAATAGAACAGAGAATTTTTCATTCTACCTGTTGACTGCCAGTAGTCAGTAGAACTTTGCTAGTTATCATTTTGATTAGTGATATATACCTTAGAATGGACGTTAATAGTAGATCTCAAATCACAGTCGAAAGTAGATACATTATTATTGGATTTGTTGGAAAGGAGAAGTGACATGTAGTGAAAATAGTTTTTTGCAAGCCTATAAACTTCTCTTGTACTTTGAATGTCTGAATTTTGCTTACTGATTATCTGAAACATACCTCATGTATATGTATCTGATAGAATATATTTTTGGACCATTATCAGATTGTTTTTTGGTTCCTATTTGGTTTTAGCTTTTGCAGTATGGTGGAAAGATCATTCGACTACAAGCTGAGATACTTGGATTCAAGTCTTGGCTAGGCTACTATTTGTGGAATCATGGATGGTACAGTTAAACCTTTTGAGGCTTCAGTTTTCTATTGATTAGAGAATTAGATTGGTGGTTCTCAATGCCGGGGGTGTGGGGCTATTTTGCCCCATAGAGGACATTTCATAATGTCTGTAGAGACATTTTGGTTATCACAACTATAGGGAGTGCCACTGGCATCTAGTGGGACAGCTCTCTACAGTAAAAGATTACCTGGCTGAGGTTGAGAAGCCCTGGGTTAGATTATCTGTTAGGTACCTTCCCATTCTAAAGGTTTTAATTTTATGAATTCTTTGGAAATTATCCTATTTTGTTTTAATTTTAAGCTTTTTTCCTCTATTTTCTATAGTATTTTACTTGAAGTGAGTTTGCCATATAGTCATGTTAAATTTTAGTATTTTGTATGGTTTCATTTTTTTTCCTTTAAATATAGCAAAGTATATTTGTATGAGAGGGAATAATATTAAGATGTTTCCTTCTTTAAAAAAATTTTGATTATTCATTAATAATATACAATAAGGGCTTCCCTGGTGGCCCAGTGGTTGAGAGTCCGCCTGCCCGTGCAGGGGACACGGGTTCGTGCCCCGGTCCGGAAGGATCCCACATGCCGCGGAGCGGCTAGGCCTGTGAGCCATGGCCACTGAGCCTGCGCGT